TGGGATTGACTAACTTCACTTAGCATTATTTTCTCTAACTCCATCCATTTACCTGCAAATGCCATGATTTTATTCTCTTCTATTGCTGAGTAATATTCCATTGTATATATATGCCACATTTTTTTTTATCCATTCATCTATTGAAGGGCATTTAGGTTGGTTCCACAGTTTAGCTATTGTGAATTGTGCTGCTATAAACATTGATTGGCTGTGTCCCTGTAGTATGCTGCTTTTAAGTCCTTTGGGTATTGATCAAGGAGAGGGATAGCTGGGTCAAATGGTGGTTCCATTCCCAATTTTCCAAGAAATCTCCATACTGCTTTCCATATTGGTTGCACCAATTTGCAGTTCCACCAGCAGTGTATGAGTGTAATACCACATTTTCTTCATCAATTCATCTGTTGAATGACACCTAGATTGGATCCATAGTTTAGCTATTGTGAGTTGAGCTGCTATAAACGTAGATGTGGCTGCATCACTGCAGTATGCTGATTTTAAGACCTTTGGGTATAAATCAAGGATTGGGATAATTGGTTCAAATGATAGTTCCATTCCAAGTTTTCTGAGGAATCTCTATACTGCTTTCCATATTGGTTGCACCAATTTGCAGTCCCACCAACAATGTATGAGAGTAAATTTCTCCTCACATCCTTGCCAATATATATTGTTACTTGTATTCTTGATAATTCCCATTCTGACTGGAGTGAGATGAAATTTCAGTGTAGTTTTAGTTTGCATTTCTGTAAATGCTAGAGGTGTTGAACCTTTTTTCATATATTTGTTCACAGATTGTATTTCTTCTTCTGTGAAGTGTCTGTTCAGTTCCATAGTCCATTTACTGATTGGGTTATTTGTTTTGTTTGCTGTTAAGTTTTTTGAGTTCTTTGTCTATCTTGGAGATTAATGCTGTATCTGAGGTGCGTGTGATAAAATTTTCTCTCATTCTGTAGGCTCTCTCTTTGTTATTGATTCCTTTGCTGAGAAGAAGCTTTTTAGCTTGAATCCATCCCATTTATTGATTCTTGATTTTACTTCTTGGACTTTGGGAGTCTTGCTAAGGAAGTCAGATCCTAGGCTACTTTTTCTTCTATTAGGCAGGCGCAGGGTCTGTGTTCTAGTGCCTAAGTCTTTGATTCATTTTGAGTTGAGTTTCGGGCAAGGTGAGAGAGGGGTGAATTTCATTTTGTTACATGTAGATTTCCAATTTTCCCAGCATCCATTTGTTGAATAGGTTGTCTTTTCTCCGGTGAATATTTTTAGCACCTTTGTCTAGTGTGAGATCAACTGCGTTTGTGTGAGTTTGTCTCTGTGTCTTCTGTACATTGGTCTACTTGTCTGTTTTGGTGCCAGTACCATACCATTTTGTTACTATGGCTCTGTAGTATAGTTTAAGGTCTAGTATTGTGATGCCTCCTGTTTCACTCTTCTTGATAAGGATTGCTTCAGCTATTATGGATCGATCTTTAATTTTTCCAAATGAATTTCACGATTGCTTTTTCTAATTCTATGAAGAATGTCATTGGGATTCTAATAGGAATTGCATTAAATCTATATAACTTTTTTGGTAGTATGGCCATTTTAACAATATTAATTCTACCTATCCTTTGGTAGTATGGCCATTTTGACAATATTAATTCTACCTATCCAGGAGCATTGGGAGGTCTTTTCATATTGTAAGGTCGTCTTCAATTTCTTTAGTGTTCTGTAGTTTTTATTGTAGAGGTCTTTTACTTTATTTGGTTGATTGATTCCCAAATAAATTTTTTTTTTAAGCTGTTGTCAATGGGGTAGTTTTCCTAATTTCTCTTTTAGTAGATTCATCGCTGATGTATAGGAACATGTTTGGTTTAAGGATGTTAATTTTTTTTATATCCTGCTACTTTCCTGAATTCATTTATTAGTTCTAGAAGTTTTCTGGTGTGGAATTCTTTTGATCTTCTAACTATAGAATCAAGTCATTGGCAAACAGTGATAATTTGAGTTCTTTTCCTATTCATATCCCTCTACTCTGGCTGCAGTTTCAAGGACAGTGTTGAATAGAAGTGGTGAAAGAGGGCATCCTTGTCTTGTTCCAGGTTTTAGAGGGAATGCTTTCAATTTTTCTCCATTTAGAATGATGTTGGCCTTGGGTTTAGCATACAGAGCTCTTAGAATGTTGAGGTATGTTCCTACTATCCCTAGTTGTTTTAGTATTTTGAACATGAAGGGGTGCTGTATTTTATCACATGCTTTTTCTGCATCTGTTGAGATGATCATATGATTCTTTTCTTTGTCTATTGATATGATGAATTATGTTTATTGATTTCTGTATGTTGAACCAACCATGCATCCCTGGGATGAACCCCACTTGGTATGGTGTAGTATCTTATAAAGTTTTTGTTGATTGATCATTTTGAATATCAATGTCATGAGAGATTTCATTGTATGAATTGGCTCTTCAAAGACTTAATGCATATTTTCTGATTCTGAGCTATCAGGTGATTCTTTTGTTGTTGAATTTCACAAGAAATTGCCATTTCTCATTATAACACCTCCAATGCCACTTCCCTTGGATTAGAAAATAGGTGATAAAACATAACCAGAATAATAGGGTTATCATTGCCATATTTAGAAAGTGTAAATTGCTTTTGCTCTCCTTCCCTCCACCAGGTATTTAATGAGCAGGGGTAATAATGTATCTGATAGAATGTGTGTGGCATCTTAGCCTGCAGTACACTATACTCTAGGCTTGGCTTATTCATGAAAGCACAAAATTGATGAAAGCTGTTATCTGTTTTAAAATGGAGAGAGCAGGTTATAGGATTTTAAATTTTTCATTGCCTCAGCTCCTAAGCCATTGGGATTACAGGCATGCGCCACTGCACCCAGCAAATTATTTTTCTTTTTGATTGATGAACAAGAAATTTTGGTTCATTATGTTAGTTATTTAAGCAGGTTCAGAATTTCAACTGTTGTTGCTGGAAAGCCTAAATCTGAAAGCTAGAATAACCTGGAACAGAATCAAAATTTATTATGTTATACATACTATCCTTACTATCAGATCTACTATATCATCTTCCTTCTTTGTACATATAAATTTAAGCTGCCTGGTTTTTAGTTACCTATAGTCTTAATTTTTTGTTTGTTTTGTTTAATGGTGCTGGGGATTGAACTTAGTCCCTTGAGCATGCTAAGTAAATACTTCATTACAGCTATATCACCCCACCCTTTAAGCCTAGATAGGTTGTCTGTCCTATTTTCCTTTTGCCCAGTATATTCTCTGGATGGAAATAAAAAGCACTTTCTCATGTACATGGGTAGCAGGGAAGCTTCTTGCCCACACCTTTATATTTCAAGAAGGGAAAGTTGTCAGAATGATAGACAAGCACCCCTCCCCCAAATACTGGTTATTCATTAACATTGCACTTTCACGTCACCTATACTTTTTTCGTACCTCTTCCCCATGACAACTTAAATAGTACATTAATAGCCTCTGTGGGGCAAACATGACTACCCAGCACTATAAAGGATGTTCATTGGTGCCTGCTACACTTGGTTTTGTGCTGTTAAGTCATGACACAAGAGTGGTTAATTGCTATTGAAAGGAACAAAAGCAAATAGGCAATTTCAGTTCCTGTTCTGGGTGTTAATTGAGCTTCTGTGTGGGTGTAACATGTCCATAGCTCAAATTTACTTCTGGGATATAAGCACAGGAATCTAAATCAGTGTGTGTGTGTGTTTTTTTTTAATTTAAAACTCAGAATTAAGTTTCCTTTACTATCTATTAATCAAAAATTGAATTTTGAATTTTGTTCTACAGCATTTTGAGGTGTGTGGTTTGGTGCAATGTTTTGCTTTAACATGTATTTTCTAGTTGGATTTACCAGTGTGTGTGCCCAAGAATATACACATAAAAACTCAGACATTTTATTGGTTTTCCTATATTTATGATTTCTGTATATTGTGCATGGATGTATCTACACATCAGAAAAGTTTCCTTGCAATTTAACAATTAGTACGTGTGAGTAAATTGAAACATGAATGCAGTCTTATGAAAATGATCACTCAGGCTGTGGAATGATTAAAAAATCAGTAAAATTAATTACAATTAATAGGTTTGAAAGGTTTTGGTTTTACCTTCATTCACACAGTTACATATGATATGTCTCCATTTCACTAAATATTGTTCTTGTATAGTAGTATACCCTTATCACTGGTTTCAGTTATGTGCAGTCAGCTGTGGTCTGGATATATTAAATGGAAAATTCTGGAATTAATCCATACTTTTAAAATTGTGTGTTGTTCTAAGTAGTATGGTTTTTAGTTACCTATAGTCTTAATCTCACACACAACCTGAATCATCCTTTCGTACAAATGTTATCTACCCTGTATTAGTTACCTGCCTCTTAGTCACCTAGTAGCTATCCCAGTTGATCAACTGTCTCACAGTATCACAGTGTGTGTCTTCAAGTAATCCTGTTTTACCTAATAAGGGAACTAAAGCAATAGAGAAATTGATGCTGACAATTGGAATATGCTAAAGGGAAACTGAATTGCTTCCTTTAAATGAAAAGGTGAGAATGTTCAATAAGATGTTTTGAGAGAAAGAGACCACATTCACATAGCTTTTGTTAGAGTATACTGTTTTATGTTACTTTATTAACCTTTTACCATACCTCATCTAGAAATTATCATAGGTATGGTATGTATATATAGACAATAACAATTATTCGCAGTTGGGTAGTATCCTCAGTTTCATGCATCCACCACAGATCCTGGAATATATGCCCTGTTGGGTATGGGGAGTCCTCATTTTTAAGAAGTTCAGACTGTTAGTACATAGTGAAATATTCTGTTAAGTTCACTGTCAAACATATTTATTTATATGAAAGTCTAATTAAATGATAATTAAGGTATAATTTTCTTCCTTTGTTCTGTCAATTTGCTTATTCAAATTAAGGAATTGATAGTTGGTTTTACATTTCTCAAAAATGTTTTAAAATTATTTTCTTTCTGCTTAGGAAGATGAAAATGTGCCCACTGTTTCTGATCCACCAAGTCAGCATTTACGTGGGCATGGAACAGGCTTTTGCTTTGATTCCAGGTAAGTTTTTTCTTTTCTTTTGTAGAATTACATGGATTAAGACTAGTGATTCTCAAAGTGTTGTTAGTCCTGGGAATTTGTTAGAAATGAAAGTAAGTTCCCAGTGTGTGGCCTACAGAATCAGGTGTATGGCCTAGCAATTCACTGCCCTCTGGATGATTCTGGTATGTGCAATCCTTTGAGAAACAATGTCATATTAACTTGACTATTAAACCAAATGGGCACTGTTGAATTGTATTTGCCCTTATAGTTTTACAATAGACATTTCCTATTAGTTAAAAGTGGAGGAATTTGCTGGGTGGGTGGCGCATGCATGTAATCCCAGTGGCTCAGGAGGCTGAGACAGGAGGATTGCGGGTTCAAAGCCAGCCTCAGCTACAGCAAGCACTAAGCAACTCAGTATTACCCTGTCTCTAAATAAAATACAGAATAGGGCTAAGGGTGTGGCTCAATGGTTGAGTATCCCTGAGTTCAATTCCCAGTACCACTACCTCCAAAGGAATTTTTGGCACTAAGCCTCATTTCACACAGTGCTAGTGGTTTTTAATGAAAAAGGTTTTGTTTATCTAATTATAGATTAAATTTAAAGGCCTTATGAATAGATACACAATTATCTATAGTCAGCATTGAGAAGCAGGAAAAAGGCTTCTGGAGTAACTAAAGGCTTTCAAGATACATTGGTTCAATAGGAATGTCAGCTAATTTGATAAATGTAATATTGTCATATACTGACCATTACTGCTGTTATAAATTTATTAGAAAATCTGTAATTCTTCATTTTCCTTTCTTTAAGCTTTGATGTTCACAAGAAGTGTCCTCTTTGTGAACTAATGTTTCCTCCCAACTATGATCAGAGCAAATTTGAAGAACATGTTGAAAGCCACTGGAAGGTGTGCCCAATGTGCAGCGAGCAGTTCCCTCCTGACTATGACCAGCAGGGGTTTGAAAGGCATGTTCAGACCCATTTTGATCAGCATGTTCTAAACTTTGACTAGGTACTTTTTATTATGATTTAATACAGTTTAGCAATTTAAAAAAAGTCACTTCAAATAGACCACTAAGAAGACCACAAGGCACCACTTTCACGCATCCTCTACCATACTTTTCTGACAAAGAGCTACTTTGAGTTTGGTGTTGCTAGGGTCAGAGTCAGTCTTTGGCTTATCAATAAATATAATTTTAACCTAACTATTAATCTTACTTGCTTTAAGAAAAGAAGTTCTTGTGTGTTTATATCTTTATTTATTCTCATTTGCAAAATTGTATGAAAAAAGGATACAGGAATTATTTTAATGTTACTGCACTGAAAAAATATATATGTAATAGTGTGCTAGATTACTTAGCAGAATATTTACAAGTTTCTGTTGATCTTGTTGATTGAGCATGATTACTAAATATTATGTAATAAAAAACATTGATCATAACAGTTTTGCGAAGTTAATTCTTTGAATATATATAGAAAAGTCCATAATTTAGCTTGTGAAATAATAGTTCTAAAATTTTCTTTAGAAATGAAAGTTCAGGTAGAATGAGATCACATGCTTGCAAATACCCTTTTTATATATGAAATGTTGGCTTTAGGAATTAATAGAAGGCATATTTTGCTAATTTTATGACAAAATTTAGAATAACCAAATGACTATTTTTAAACTGCGTTGAATTTGTATTTATAACTAATGGGGAAAGGGAACAAGTCAGTACAATTTGTTTTCATATTAAATGACCTCATAACAGTGTTTGTGGCATAAAAATCGGAATATGTCAGTATCTTTTTCACATTTTCCTGATGAGAATATAAATTTGAAATAACATTTTCAGTGATTAAAAATGTAAATGCATAAACCCAAATGAAAGTAATGTGTTTCTTTAGTTGTGTCTGCTGTGCAGTCCCCATTAACATTAAAGAACACACATTTTTCAAGGTCTGTAATTTCTTTGTCAAATTTATTTGCAGTAGTTTTTCACTAACCTAGCATTTTGGGCACATTTTTTTGGCCTTTAAAAAACTTAGGAACTGTATTTCTTTCTGTCAATGTTAAGAATTTAACATTTACTGTTTTGGTAGTTATCCAAATGTTGAGACTTACTCTGAGCAAACTGTTAATCTACTATTGACTTCTGGGGTGGTGTATGTGAACTGCATGCATGTCATGTTGCTTGTATTTGTAAGAGAATCTGTATTGCAGGAATCCTCTGAAAAGATTTTTGAATCTAGGGCAGTATATTAGGCATTCAAATGTTTAAAACATGACAGTCCTGAGAGGCAGCAGCATTGAAGACTTCATGTTTCAGCTTCCTGGTAAGTCACAAAACAAGCAGAATATATGCAGGTAAAACATATTTAACACTGTGAGCATTTTTTGTTGTAGCTAGCAGTTATGGTTTATGTTAATCTGAAAGTAGTACCTTTTGAATGTTACGGTGCTGTTATTAATGAAATGATACTATCTTATTAGCCTTTACTTTTAAATAGTGTTTTGGACCCAAGCTTAGAAAAGTAATGCAGTCACAGCAAAAATTTGAGAGAATAAACTATGCACCCACAGAAGACTATAAAATAATAGGTACGATAGAACAAGGCACTGATTATATAGTTCCCATGGTAAGCTTAATACTTTATTTTCATCCTTTATTATGGGAAAAAAAAAAAGAGCCATCTTTGTTTTGGGTCAGAGGCAGTTTATTTTAATGTGATTTCATTTACATTTATAAGCAGCTTTTCTTGACAGGAATTTTGATTAAGTTGCCTTCAGTTCTAAAACCTCTGTCACCTTCAAACAATGTGCTCTGTCCCCAGCAAAACATATGAAAATATAATTTAAAGCACAGTTTTCACAGACACGGTACAATACATTCACTATACACGGTATAACAAAATATTCCCATCCTTACCTGTTTAGTAATACTGTCACAATAAGTAAATAGAAATTGGAATTTGTTTTATCATTGAAAGAAATTTAACATGCACAATGACTATTTTTATGACTGTTTAGCTGTTGAACTACTGATCCAGCCTGCAGTTTCTTGCACTAGAAGGAGCAAAGCTAAATAATTGCTGGCCTACATTTTTTTTTTTTTTTTTTTGGTCAACTGTAGGTAGATATGAAATAGCCAAGTAGGGCTGCTTTATGCACCAACTAGTTGATTCTCATATCTGGATCACCTTCTTAACATAGGATAACACTGTATTCAGGACCAAGACCACTCTTCGGAGATCCGAGGAAATTTTTAGTGGGCAGTATCTTTATAAATATTTTTAAATCCCTCATTATGAGAGATTCACAACTTGTGAATAAAGAACCTTACCCATCTGTTTAACAGAATTATCTTTCAAAATGTCTGAAAAATTGAGGAGGGACCCCTGCTTCCCAGCCATGTGTAAGACTTTTCATCAAATGGAAAGAATGGGAAGAAAGTTATTTTATGAGGAATTTGAATTTGCTTTTCACCAGTTTGTATGTGGGTAGTTAGCTGTCTTGAAGAATTTTTATTGCATAATTAGGCAACTGGTAAACTCTTGGGTTTAAGGAATAGCACTTGGGAGAAAAGAACACTCAAGGCATGATGGTACTGTCGGTGAGAAAAACTTCAGTAATGGTCCAGATGTGGGTCACTCTGATGGGTCATATTAGTCACACTTTTCTTTGACCACCTGCTGCAAGAAGCACTTAATCATCAATAAGGCTCATTTTCATATTTCGGCAAAATGTTTATAAAGCTAAACAGACATTTCCAATGATAATGCACACATCTACAATATGATGGGAAAAGTGCCTTTAAAATAAGTCTCAAAACACAACATGAAAAGGAGGCAATAAGGGTCTTAACAAAAATGTTTCTCTTTGAAACGTGCTTAGAGTTTTAATTCTGATTTGCAACCCACAGGTTTCTTAGGGCAGTGGTTGCAAGAATTGGCAACACATAAACATTAAACTGTTGGCAATAGAGAACTACAAAGTGCTTTAAAACTTCATTGGAAGGTGAAGCTATAACTGAATTTCATATGCACAAAATTTGCACTTGTTTCTTAACAGATTTCAGGGGGAAAGTATTTTACTAAACTGGTATCTTGGTCCGCAAGTTAACAATTGGTATTTGAATCCCTTGCACCCAGCAGGCACTCCACGAATGTGTTAATGAGTGAACTGAATATTTTGTACAAAAATGCCATTTATAACACTAAAATGATAAGTCAGATGGCAAGATGGCAAGATTTTCAGCTTTTTAAAGAGCAAAAGGATTTGCGAAATATAAAACACAGAAAGCACACCTTTTATGCATGTTATTTAAATATGAAAATATTTTTAGCATATTATGTTAAACATTCTTATTTATAATTCCATTACCTAAAGTCTTTCTACTCACAAATACTAACTCCATTATGTAAGGCATGGTAACCAGTGTGATAATGAAGGTATTATTTTGGTTTTGAACGTGAGTTGATGTGTTGAAAAACTTCAATCACATTACAATCTTGAAAAAACATCTCAGTGCCAGCCCCTCCTCCCCCCCAATTGATATTACTGCAATACAACTAAACATATGCAACATGCCCTCAATTTTATTTTGTTTTGGGGGAAATGTGCTGAAGAACCTAGAGCTTTTTTTGTTTAGCACCTTATATCAAAGTAATGAAAATGGGTATGATGATTACATGTGCAAATGTACAAAATCATTAACTCTACAAAGATACGTCATTCCAAAATTACAGAAAAATTTAAAGCATGCATTTAATTCTTTTTCTTTAAAGGGTTGCTGAATGCTTCCCCTGAAAAAAGGTGGCTGTTTTCAAAATCAGCAACTGCTGGTGAGGATTTCTTGGCACAGTTATGACCAGCATGTTATTGCTGCATCTTCCTGATAATCTCAGCTGACACCGGGGGGTGGAAATTGATTGTATGGTGCCGCAGGCCCTGAGCGGTCTTGTAACTCTTTCCACACCGACATTTGAATGGTTTGCGGACACGAATCTGTGTTCTGTGACCATTCTTAGCGTGGTACTTTATGCCATTCACATTCTGTGGAGAAGACAAAATGTTACCTGTTAGATGAAGTCTCAGGTTTTAACCTTAGTATGGATCAAGATTGCAGTTAACACATCTGGGTGGCAGCTGTTTATAGAGAGAAAGCTTTGCATGAACTCCAGTTGTGACCCTTTAAGGACAGCCTCGTGTATGGGCACCAGGTCACACACTTAAGGAGATACTCTGAAAGAGTATATATCTTCAGTATATATTCAGGCTCCCAGACTACATATTAAAAAAGTTTTGAATAGGAACAGTTCCCTCTTCCTGGAACTTGCTTCTCCCTGAATCACTTTTCCACTCTGACAGAGTTAACAATGGTCAGTCGTATAAAAATATAATAAGGATGACCAACAAAATGTTTCTAAAGAAAACCACCAACAGATTGGGACAAATCTTAAAGACTTGTATGAATTTCTGATTTGGAAACTCAAGAGTCTTGATTTCAGACAACTACAATAATAATTTCCTCTAACCTTACCTGGAATCTTTGTCCATTTTCTTTTTGTCTATTTTCTGCTCGTAAGCAGGTGTCACTGATACCACTATGGCAGCATAGGTATATGTGAAAACCAAGCACCCAGAGACAGATGAAGGCCCTACCTTTATTGATGTGTACTGCATTCCAAATAGAAAATGTGCTTTCAAAAGTTTAGGTTATTATGTTAGTCTTGGCACTAAAATGTGACTGGATTTCTTAACATCTAGATAATAAAAATCTGGATGGTAAGAAATGCTTTCAGGATTTCTTCTAATTGGTTTTGCTAGTTCACTAGCGTATTCTATGTAAGATTCCATTTCTTGATTTACTCTTTACATGTTTAATGAACAGTTAATATTGTTCAGCCAATTAAACAGGTTGCAGACATTAAGGGGAAGACTTAAGAAAGAAATGTCAGAGGTGATATTTGCATATAAGTCTTAATTTCCAAGTCAGATTAGAGAATAAGGGAATAGAGAAGCAGCAGCTTGATACTTGAGTTGCTAAGCACAGAAAACCAAGCATGAGCTATTTCCTAAAATACTACTTAAATACCAGTCCTGATGGGCCTGATCCCATGCCCAACAAGAAGATTCCAGCAGTCTTTCTACCCATTCATAGGATGTCCTTAATGAGCTCCCAGAAAGCAGGGATGACTCCTGCTACTATTTGATGAGTAACCAAGTTCCTGGCACGTAGTAAGTGCTAAGTGAATGAGTTTGTTAGAAAAGTGTATCCCAGTGCGTGTCTCACTATTCAGGAAGACGTTGAGAGGACTACTATTAAATATATGGGTTTGGGGCTGGGGTTGTGGCTCAGCAGTAGAGCACTCTTGCCTAGCACATGTGAGGCCCTGCATTCAATGCTCAGCACCACATAAAAATAAATAAATATATGGTTTTGGTGGTTGTTACTATCACATTTCCTTCATAAGAGTTTTGTAAGCCCAACAATAGAGAATTCTGTTGGACTTGTTGAACCCAGAGGTGCCAAATAGCCACCACAGGACTGTCTTCAAAGTCTCAAAGTTGTCCAAAAAACTAGGTTAGAAGGACACCAGCCTCTGTCCAAACATGTGGCTTGGGCTGTCTGTACCTTCATCCCTTGTCCTCCCTGCATCCATCCTTTCTCACAGTGAGGAAGCACCTTTCCAAGAGCCATAATCAGACAGACTGACCTAACATGGATAGATGTGTCCTGATGGCCCCCAGCTATTCTAGCCCCCCCCCCCCCGCGGGGCACAGGCATGTGAGGGAAGAAGCCAATTTGTGTATCCAACTGGGTTCAGCCTTCAGATGAAGTTTTACTACAACTTTAACAAGAACTACCTAGCCAGAGCAACCAATTTATAGTACTCTGGAAGATAAATTCTTGAAGTTGTGTGTGAGTGCGCGCGCACGCCTTTTGAGAAGGAGGGACG